CCAAAAATACTTTGATTCATGAGTTTCTGCCCGTTTTTATTTTATTTATTTATTTTTTGTCCTTTGTGTTTTTTGTGAAATTGGTCTTAAATTTAATTTCACTTGGCATTAAAAAAGTCTTAAATTTAACTTTCCTTAAACTGCAGGAACCCTGAAATAAGAACAAGATGCTGCTTGACTTTAACTTGTACRTGTTAAATGGTTTAACAACCTGGTTTTTGGTTGTCAGACCAGCAGCAGTACGCCAGCAGCGACCTGTCGAAGCTTCCAGACCCCGGCAGAATCCGCTCCAGAGTCCCAGCCAACATGCCAAAGCTCTTCATCCCTTCCACCGTCACCAAGTTCCCCCCAGAGATCACGGTAACGCCTCCGACGCCCACACTTCTCTCCCCGAAAGGCAGCATCTCTGAGGAAACCAAACAGAGGCTGAAGGTACCCTCTCTCTCTCTCTCACATTCCTTCTCTCTGTGCTCAGCAGTGACCCCTGCTGTCTGTCCCTCCCCTCACACACAGAACGTCATCCTCTCCTCTCAGTCTGCTGCCACAGTTAAAAAGGACACGCTGAGCCAGCCGGCGCTGGAGGTGCAGGAGACGTCCAGCCAGGAGTCGTCTCTGGAGAGCGAGTCTGACGAGGAGGACGATTACATGGACATCTGAGCCTCGTGTGCTCGCTCCGACTGAACTCTGCCAAACCTCATCAGGCTGATGTTTTTTTTTTATTTTTAGTAAAGGGATTGTTTATTTCTGTGCAGCTACCTGTTGATGTTTCTGTTCTCTCACATCATAAAAATGTGGAAACCTGCAGTGTTTTTATCAGCTGTCTGGTGCATGAAGACCCACAGCATGTGTGAAGTGAAGCCATTTATGCATCAGCTTCTCCAGCTCATCTGCTTTAACCGGATCTGGCAACAACAAAAGAAACTTTGCCTTTAAAGCCCACCAGCGACATGTTTATGCATCTTTTCTACGTCATGTGCTAACTATCTGAGTCGCTYGTCTGGAGCTCGCCAGTCTGAGGTGCCTCGGTGTGTATCGGCACTCGGCAGCGTGCACCTCCTGTCCTCTGCTCAAACTCCGGCGGGAGATTCTTCTCTCGTCTCACCGGTACGGGACCTAACGAGATGTAGACAGAGGGCTGCAGCCGAGGTTCGTCTGCAGAGCTAAAGAGCTACAACGCCTCATGACCCGTAGCAGTTTGCAAAATGTTTACACTCTACCTGGATGATTTTCAGTTGGTGGTATTTTTGTACTGACCGTATCTCTTGTATAAAGCTGTATATTCATTTCTGTGCATTTGTAGCTACAGCGACAGTTCTTTGGCCAGGAGGACGTCCCGTCACCAGCACTGATCTGAGTATTCCAGCCTGTTAGTTAGCTTTTGTACATATCACAATCCAAAAATCTTTCCAGGATGTTTGGCTTTTATTTTTTATTTTTTGGGTTGAGTTTTTAAGGTTTGAGCTTGTGTGAGCGAGTTTAACATTTAGGATGAGGGTCACTTGATGATGATGAGGAGGAGGAGGAGGAGCAGGACTTCCTATAACTGATGCCTTTCCATTAAACTCATTTAATTCAACTTGTCAGTTTTTATTAACTCAGAGGAAGACACACGCAATGTTTTTTACAGATTGTTTTCTATAAAAAGGAAGATTTACTCGTTCCTAAAAAACATAAAAAATTAATAAAAAAAATCAAAGAAATGAAAATATAACACTCCAAATTAAAAAGACAAAAAAATGTTGTATTTTATTTCTTGGTTGTTTATCTTTAGGGGGTGTTGAGGTTTTGTGTGCTCACTGCTGGAGTGGATCATGTTCTCTGAGTCTGGACTGAATGTGTTTTAGATGTCAAACCAAATCTATAAATATATTTGAGAAACACGTGGTGTTTGAGTCTTTGCTTTGTGTTTTAGAGAAGAAAAAGATGTAAGCCTCAGTGAAACCTCAAAGCAGCAACATAATTTCCCACATTTGTCTCCTTTTTTT